CTCCTGGGGTTACACCCTCCAGTTTACCTCTACCCCGCCCAACCACCCTCCGCCCCATCCCTTCTGGGGGACCCCTCTCACGAGGCCCTTCACGAGCAGGAGGTGGGGCAGCTCCTTGGTTTAGGAGTGGTGGAAGTGGTGCCAGTGGAGTTCAAACGCAAAGGGTACTACTCCCGCTATTTCCTTATCCTGAAGGCCAAAGGGGGCATCAGGCCCATCCTGGACCTGCGAGGCCTGAACCAGTACATGATAAAGGTCAACTTTTGCATGGTCTCTCTGGCCTCCATCATCCCCTCCCTGGATCCCGGTGACTGGTACGCTGCCCTCAATCCGCAGGACGCATACTTCCACATTCATATATTTGAGGGGCACAGGCGTTTCCCACATTTCACAGTTGGATAGGAGCACTACCAATTTACGGTCCTCCCATTTGGCCTGTCCACTGGTCCCAGGATATTCACAAAGTGCATGTCTGTGGTGGCAGCCTCAGATCTTCCCCTATCTGGACGACTGGCTGGTCAAGGACAGCTCCCAGTCGCAGGAACGGGATCATGTGGCGCTCCTGTCCACGTGTGCCATCCTGGGCCTCTTGGTGAACGATACCAAGTCCACGTTAGTCCCAGTACAATGCATAGAGTTTATCAGGGCAGTCCTGGACGTGACATTGGCCAGGGCCTCCCTCCCACCGGACAGATTTGAGACCCTGAAAGGGCTTATCGACACAGTCAAAAAGTTCCCTGTGACAATAGCCAGAGCGTGTCTCCAGCTCCTGGGTCACGTCAGCATGCACATATATGGTTCGCCACGCCAGACTCAGAATGAGGCGTCTCCAGCTCTGGTTGGCCTTGGTGTTCTTCCAGGCCAGAGACAGGATGGACAAGGTCCCCACTGTGCCCGAGCCAGTGATCAACTCCCTACAATGGTGGTCCTCCCTGGTGGAACATGCTCCACGGGGTCCCGTTTAGGGGCAGGCCCCCATCGGTGGAGCTGGTGTCTGACGCAGCGGTCCTGGGGTGGGGAGCCCATGTGGGGGACGTTCAGACCCAAGGTCTGTGGTCTGCGCAGGACCTTGTCCTGCATATAACCGTCAAGGGACTCAGGGCGGTCCGGCAGGCGTGCGCGGCCTTCCACTCGCACCTGGAGGGCAGAGTGGTCCAGGTTCTCACAGACGACACGGCCTCAATGTTTTACATCAACAGGCAAGGCGGGGCCCGCTCCTCTGCCGGGAAGCTCCCAGACTGTGGGACTTCTGTATAGCCCAAGACATTTGCCTACAGCCTACCACCTACCGGGCTCCCTGAGCTCACGGGTGGATCGCCTGAGCCGAGACTTCTCCTCTCAGCACGAGTGGTCTCTACACCCAGAGAAGGTGTACTGCCTTTCCAAGAATGGGGAACTCCCCAGGTGGACCTGTTCATGACTCGGAAGAACCACCGGTGTCGCCGGTTGTGCTCCGGGGGGGAGGAGCGGGGGGGGCTGGGAGTGGGCGCGATCTCCGATGCCTTCCTCCTGTCCTGGTCAGGCCAGCTTCTCTGTGCCTTCCCCCCAATCCCGCTGATCGGCAAGGTTCTGGAAAAGATAAAGATGGATAGGGTCAGGGTCCTCCTGATTGCCCCAGTGTGGCCCAGGCAACATTGTTACAGGACCCTCACAAGCCTGGCAGTCGCCCCACTGTGGCTGTTACCGTCCCTCACGAGCCTGGCAGTCCCCCCCGCCATGGCTGTTACCGTCCCGCCCGGACCTGCTCTCCCAGGACCAGGGCTGCCTCCTCCACCCCAACCTAGCGGCACTCTACCTCACGGCGTGGCTGCTCAATGATTAGGCAGGGAGGAAAGGACATGCTTGGAAGGGTTTCAGCGTGTCCTCTTGGAAAGCAGGCGATCCTCCACGCATCGAGCCTACTTGGCAAAGTGGTCCCGGTTTTCCTGGTGGGTGGCTGAGCGGGGCGTTTCCCCTGTGGCTGCCCCGATCCAGCTCATTTTAGACTACCACCTTCACCTTAGAGCCCAAGGTCTGAGCCCTCGTCCGTCAAGGTGCACTTGGTGGCCATATCAGCCTTCCACCCCAGTCCTGCAGTGGGACCTGAACTTGGTGCTGGCCTGGTTGACGGGTCCCCCCCTTTGAGCCGCTAGCTATGTGCTCCTGGTCACACCTCTCGTGGAAGGTAGCCTTCCTGGTGGTGATCACATCAGCTAGACGGGTCTCGGAACTGAGGGCCCTGACCTCCGAGCCCCCATACACGATATTCCATAAGGATAAGGTCCAGCTCTGCCCACACCCTACGTTCCTCCAGAAGGTGGTCTCTGCCTACCACATGGGTAAGGACATTTTCCTGCTGGTCCTCTGCCCCAAGCCCCATGTGTCCAGTGAGGAGCGCCGCCTCCACATGCTGGATGTGAGACGGACTCTGGCCTTTTACCTGGAGCGGACTAAGCCATTCAGGAACTCTTCGCAGCTGTTCATCGCCTCGGCCGAACGCATGGGGGGTTGGCTGATCTCCACTCAGCGGCTCTCCAACTGGATAACTTTGTGCATCCGTATCTGTTAAAACGTGGCGGGAATCCCTCCACTGTCAATTGTAAGGGCACACTCGACTACGGCGCAAGCCTTGTCGGCTGTCTTTTTAGCCCATGTCCCCATTCAGGATATTTGCAGGGCTGCCACATGGTCTTCGGTTCACTTGTTCACTCGCATTATGCAATCGTCTTCCAGACCAGCGAGGACGCCGGGTTCGGCAGGGCTGTGCCCTGTCCCAAGAGTTTGTGAACTCCTACCCGCCTCTAACAGATATAGCTTGGAATCCTCTATTGTCGAATACACATGAGCAATCACTCGAAGAAGAAAAGACAGTTAACTTTTCCGTAACTGGTGTTCTTCAAGATGTGTTGCTCATGTCTATTCCACATCCCGCCCTCCTTCCCCTCTGTCAAGAAGGAACTGAGGGTGGGGGGAGCGCGCAGCCCCTCTTATACCACGCCATGGAGGCGTCACTCCAGGGGTCACTGGGGTGCTCCCCTACAGGTACTGCTATGGGGAAAACTTTCGGTACCGGTGCACGTGGCGATCACACACACCTATTGTGGAATAGACATGAGCAACACATCTCAAAGAACACCAGTTATGGAAAAGGTAACTGTCTTTTGTGTTGTACACTGTAATAAAATAATAATGAAAATAAAATTGTAAGGAGCCTTGAGTCAAGAAGAGAACTGTGTACAAGTTAAATGTGTAGTAAGGGCCAAATTCTGTTATTTCACCAGCATATATCTGGAGTTACTCCAGATTTAGACCCCTACCCTGCATAGGCCTGTGCTCATGCTTATCTTTCACCCACATGAGTAGTTCTATTGACTTTATCTAGTAAATTTTACAGTAGGGCTTGAAAGAATCCCATTGACTTCAATGGACTTTGAATCAGGTTCTAACTGAGCAGTGTTTAGTGCTCTTCATTTTCTAATATAAATTCCTATTCTAAAAAAAACGTATTCTCAGAAGGATCTCCAGCTATTTTCATAGATATTACCTTTTGATTGTTACTCTGCTCTGTTTCACCCGCTCAGGACCTTGAAAATTCTTTTTATTTCCCTTTAGCTTTGCTATTCTCCATTTGGCAATCAGATTTTTTACCCTTTTTTATATGGCACATAAGCCAAAGAAAGTGTTGGTTTGTCTTCTGCATTAGCGACATCAGCACAGCTCTGAAAATGAGGTTTAATTAGTCATTACCTGGAGCTCACTTTCTTGGACGGGCTCAAAAGCAACAAAGTATAAAACATTGTAGGTCCTATACAAACAATGGACTGAGTTCATTACTCAGGACCAGATTATGACTGGCCCTTATAAAAGGGGGCTCTTCAAGACAGCACGCAAGGAGCCTGTCACAATCCCTTTACTCAGAGAAGTTCAGGAGATGCTTCCTCCTTATCCCCATTCCATGTGTACATCACCCCAAAGTGGGCCGGGAGAAGGCAGGACTCTTTTCCCATCCACATACTGTGCTAGTCTATGGAGCAGGCCCAGCATATGAGGGAGGAGCAGGTCACATTCCCTGAAAAGGTGTAGCTGCAGGAGTGCTCCCCCTGTGTGCTGAGGAGTTACCTGGGCTGGATTAATGCATAAGTAAACCAGGCATGTCCCTGGACCGGGGCCCCCACTTATTTATATTTATGTATATTTGCTGATGCAGATTTGCACGCGAACTGAAAGAACTTCACATGATGTTGCACCACTTTGGGCCAGATCACAACACCAATCACTAGGGTTGCCAATTTTGGTTGGATGTATTTCTGGAGATTTCATCACATGACATAATCTTTAATAAAAGATTAATTTTTAATTCCTGGAGACTCCAGGACAACCCTGGAGGGTTGGCAATCCTACCAATTACTCAAATGAGTGAAGTTCTTTCTGTTCGTGTGCATCCCCACATAAGTGGATAAGTAAGTGGGCAGAGATATTCCTCACACACAGCTGAGGCTCATTTGCCATTTCCAAGCAAAGGGGGGGCACTGAGTAAAGAAACTACTTTATTCTCCAACAGGGTAGGGGCCCAGAAGTATATGTTTGATTAGGACCAAGTGATGAGTTAATCTGGTCCTGGGAGTTATAGAAGGAACCATGCCGCTGAGCTCCTGGGGTTGTGCTTCTCAGTCCCTAGGCAGAGTTGTGCACATAATATACATTTTGAACCCTTTTTATTGTTACTAGTAAAACTGAGAGCAGAATTTTACCCAGTGTTTATTAGGGTTTTATTTAATTATTTTTATAATCATTGAGGGCCTGATCTTGCAAAGTTGCTATTTGAGTGGTGGGAAGTGCTGAACACCCTTTACTCTCAGTAGAGGTTGCTCAGCACTTTACAGGATTGGGCCTTTAAAATCCAGAGGACACTTTCAACAAGGTTAAAATAATTTGTAGGGAGGCCAAAATTTGGGCCTAAACTTCTTGACAATCTTATGACAATATGCCAGTGCTCAATTTTATTTTTTTTAAACATGCAGGCCCACCATTGTTCACAGGTTCCTGATAAAAGCAACAATAGAAGAAAGAATGCAGATGATGCTGAAAACTGTAGAGAGAAGGTACATTTTTTGTGGGGCAGGGAGCTAAAAAGCATGGTAATATTGCACCAAAATGAAAGTAGTTTTCATACATACACCCTGCATTCTGTTTAAGAGGTTATTACGCTGTATTCACTCTGTTTAAGAGGTTATTATGCTGTATTCATTATATTTGTGAAGTTTTTACTCAGTCATAAACTTTTGCTCAGCTCTGAAATGTTTTGACTAAAGTCCCAAAATGTTTTCAGCAAAGCTTTGAAAAATTGACACTTTAACCTGGATTTGGTATTCAGTGATTTGAAAAAGAAACACAATGTAAATAAGTCCAGTTACTGGCCAGACATTTTAATTAAGAGACCAGAAGAGTCTCCAAGGACATGAACCATTCAGGTACACCTCTACCCCGATATAACGCGACCCGATATAACACGAATTCGGATATAACTCGATAAAGCAGCGCTCTGGAGGGGCGGGGCTGTGCACTCCGGTGGATCAAAGCAAGTTCGATATAACGCGGTAAAAATTTTTGGCTCCCGAGGACAGTGTTATATCGAGGTAGAGGTGTATGTGTGTTGAATAACCATAAATGTGAGACCAGATTCATGTCTTTAGTACTCCAGTTTTACAGTAGTGTAATTGCATAGCAATCAGTGAAATTATACTATCATAAAACTGGACTAATGTAATGGTGAACTAGACCTAAGGTGGATAGGGTTTTTGCTATTAATAATGTTATTTAAGCATTGGACAAATTATTTGAATTTTTACATGCAAAAACATTAGAATGGTACAGATGTGTACCGGGTTAAGCTTTAAAAGCTGGTATTTGGACAAATCTTGTATTGTAATGTGATGTGGATGTTACATTTCTGTTTTACACTAGACCTTTTTTTTTTTCTTTCGGGGGAAAAAAAACCCTTATTACCCAGGCATTTTAATTATATCTAATAGTAAGCGACTGACGTAAGCCCTGAAGCATGAGATTTAATTTCTTTTCCCAAATTTTTGCTATTAATCATGTTATTTAACCATTGGACAATTATTTGAATTGGTATATCGTACAGATGTGGAAAATTGATGAGACAATACTTTCAAAGATAAGGATGATGCCCTACCCCTCATAACCATACCCTTGCCCCTCCAAACAAATACAAGATGAGAATTTCCAGTTGTACAGTATAGTAATAGTCAAGTTATGAAAAAATAAACCCTTTAACTGCACAGTTCCCTCCATTTAGTTCACAGAACCAAGCTTTTGTGACTAGAAGAACTGTAGTTCCAATATAGCTGCAGAGAAGCAAAACTACTGTATTCTGCTTCTTGCCCAAACAACAAAAACACCAGATGAGTTCTGATTCCAGTCTTTTTATTATTTGTGGTAGTTTGGGAAGATGTACAAAGCAGGGTTTACATCAGTCTCTTACTACCGGTATTAGAGATCAGGATCTCATACTGGGGGCAGATTATTCCACCTTTTTCTGAAGTATATGGTTACTGGTCACTGTCAGACAGGGTCCTGGACTAGATGGAACTTGGGTCTGATCCAGTATGGCAATTCTTGTGTTCCTAATCTGAGTAGTACTGAATAGTATGAACAACAGAATATCTGCTCAGACTACTTTAATTGCTTTGTCTTTAACATTGCCTAGTGAGAAGACTTGTAAGATGGTCTCCACATAATAAACAGGATGGTTCATGCTGCTTTGGTTGAGCTTGGTAATAACCCTACCCTTCCTTAGAGAGACAAGAGGGGTGAAGTAATATCTTTTATTGGACCAACTTCGCTGGTGAGAGATGCAAACTAGTGAGCCTTACAGAGCTCCTCTTCTGGTCTGGGGAAGGTACTCTGGGAAAAGTGTCACAGCTAAATGCAAGGTGACACATTGTTTAGCACAAATTCTAAGGAACCATTCAAGGTGGAGTGGCCCATTAACACCTCTGCAGTCATAAGACAAAAAGAGGGGGATAGTGGGTTACAGATTGTTGCAGTAAGCCATAAATCCAGTGTCTCTGTTCAGTCCATGATTTTTCGTGCCTAGCAAAGTTATGAATTTAAACTCCCAGATTTGTCTTTTGAAAGTGTTATGCAGGTTTCCTGTGAGGATGAGGATTGATAGGTCACATATAGTGATCATTTTGTGAAAAGCGTTCACCTACAGGTGATATGGTGTTTTTGTCTTCTATCATTTTCCTGTATGAGTTAATTTGAGATCATAGTGATTATCTGGTTTCACGCACATAGTTGCTATTGGGGCATTTAGTGAAGTGGATGAGGTATACTGCATGTTGTGATGGGCACATGTAAGATCCATGGATCTTGAAATGTGTTGTGGAAAGTGTTGATCATTACAGCAGTGGAGATATGTCTGCAGGTTTTGCATCTGTTGTTCTAGCAGTTGGTGTGTCCTGGTCTGTGGGGAGCTTGCTTCTGATGATGAGCTTGGAGAGGTTGGGGGGTTATTTGAAGGCCAGAAGTGAGAGTTTAGGATGGGGTCCCTATTGAGTATAGGCTGTAGTTGTTTTGATGATACCCCATATGGGTTCCAGTGTAGGGTGGTCTGTGACAACTAAGGGCATGCAGTCGGAGGGAGATTTATTTCTGTATTGAAGCAGGGTCTCAGGATATTTGGGTGGCCCATTCCATGATTCAATCTGCTACTCTGGTGGAGTGTCCTTGTTTGGTGAAGGCAGTTTTGAATATTAAGATATATATCCCAGACTTTCTCTTGGGAGCATATTCTGTGGTATCTGAGTGCCTGGCTGTAGATAACAGATTTGGTGGTGTGTTTGGGGTGGATAATGGATCTTTGAAAGTGGAGGTGGTGATCTCTTTCTTGTATATGGTTGTCTGTAGGGATCCATTGTTGAAGCTGATTGTGGTGTCCAGGGGAGTTTAATGGATTGGAATTGGTTGTTGAAGTTGTGGTGGAAATCTATGAGGGAGTTTAAGCCATCTGTCCAGAGGATGAAAATATCATCAATGTGTTTGAGGTATATCATTGGTTTTGTGGTGCATTTGTCTTCTTCAAGGTGGCCCATGAAGAGGTTGACATATGGCTGTTCCCATGGTTTGGACAAAGTGTTTGTTGTTGAATGTAAAATTGCTATGGGTGAGGATGAAATGGATAAGTTTGTGTGTTTGGGATGGATATCTGAGGGCTGTCCATCGTTTTGTAAATATTTGAGGCAGGAATCATTGTGGTCTGTAACTTACTAACCCACTCTTTTTGTCCTATCACTGCAGAGCTGTTAACAGGCCACTCTACCTTAAATGGTCCCTTAAAATATGTACTAACTACTTATGTTGAACAATCTGTTCCACCTTGTATTTAGCTCCGTAATGTTTGGAGTACTTTTCCCAGAGCTGAAGGAGAGCTCTGTGTTCGAAAGCTTGTCTCTCTCACCACTAGAAGTTGGTCCAATAAAAGATAATACCTCACCCATCTTGTCTCTCGAATATCTTGGGACCAACATGGCTACAACTACACTGTATACATACCCTTCATTGTCATCTTCCTTTGTGATGTTCACTGTAGTATAAATATTAGACAATCTACAACTGCACGTTCTTTCTTTATTGCACAGTCTCTGTTCTCTAACTCTCATGCAAATTTTCCCTACAGCCACACCAGCTCTTCCATGAAACAGTCAGAAGCCTCAGTGTTGACAGTGGCTGATCTGGCAGACCTTTTCACAGAAGAAACTGAAGAACTTGAGTGAAACAACTTTGATTTGACTCAGTGAAATCAGAAGGGACATGTCTTAGTAATAGCATCTGTATTAAATCAGTTGACCTGTCATAAATTCCTGTAGATGTCAAACACCCTTCTTCTGTTAAGATTGCTAGAATTAGTAAGGTTTTTAATCATTTTCATTTGATTCTGTGGCTATGTCCTAATCAGCACATGTTTTCTGATAGCACTGGAGAGATATTGCACTTTGCACACTATACAAAACAATGGATTTTATTTCCAAAGAACATTTGAGCTGGACTTTTGAGGGTAAAATCTTGGCTCCAATGAAGTGAACGGGAGTTTTGCCACCATCTTCAATGGGGCCAGGATTTCACTCAGAGTAAAGCTTTGCTTTGGGGGAAGGGAAAGTGGAGTCAGAGAAACTGAACAGAGTATTTTGCTTCTCGGTTTTTTACTCTACAAAGCATTATTGAGTATGAATACCCTCATAGCAAGTGCTCTAGGGTTCTCCGCATTTAACTCTCAAGGATTGCACCTCTTAGTGGTAACACTTAAAATAAACTCTTTACTAACTAGTTGGGTATTCATAATGCCCTTTTTAGGTATTCATGCAGATTATGTAACACCATAGAAGTTTCATTGCAAGTTAGATTTCGTGTTCACTTACTGCAGTGTTATCTTGATAAATTATGCCTTTTATATGTATATTGGTCTTGAAATAACAGTAAAAAACTGAATCAGTTGTACACATTTTTAAAAATTCTTGAAGCCATGACTACTTTACTGCTTTGCTGTAAGTATTTGGGTTCCTTTGTTATAGAATTTAAAAAAAAATTAAGCTACCCGTCATTTTATACTCATTTGGTGTCTGTGTGCTTTTCTCTTTCCCCATTCACTTCTTTTCAGAAACTATGGGCTTGTCTGTACAGTGCGCCAAAAGGGTATGATTTATAAAGCACACTAGTGTTGTTGTGCTCTAACTGCCCTGTGTAGACCCTGCTTGCATTGTCTAAAAAGGTACCTCGTCTTCTGAACTACATTAATGTGAACTAGGTACCTTTTAGAGCACACCTGCAGGATCTGCATGGGGCAGTTCACACCTCTTCCTTTCCAACCCTTTCCGCATGCCCTTCGGAACAACTCGCACCAAGTTAATGCTCCCTATGTCTGCATTATTTCTTCCAGGATCATTGTTTTGTCTGCAAATATACAAAAAATTTCCTTATTTGGGCTTTTGCTCCATACAGCTGCTTTTTAGAGCAAGTACACTGTTATTTTCTCCAATACAAATGTTGTGATAAACTAGAAGAGAAATGTTTTGGATGGACTGAACAGTGTGATAAAGTTTGAGCTCAAAATTTACATTCCCTTAAATTGTGGTAAGGACGTGAACATAAGAGTCTGTGAAAAGTATGATTAACTAGAAGATTCTGACTATTTCTGAATTTTAATCAGAACGCTTGTTGCTTGAAATACAAGTGTTACAAGAGCTTCTTTAGTTTTATACATGCTGACACACTGCTCTGCAAAGCATCTGTGTCAGTACACCGTGTTTTTCTTCCTTTTTTGGTTGTCTGGGACATGTAAGATGTTTACAAGAATAGCCCTCATTTATGGTACATGACCATGGGAATCCCACGCTGGGAAAAAGGAGGCCAAAAAAATCACTCCTCGCCCCCCCACACACACCCGCCCCCAGCTTGCTTAATCTCTTACAAAGAATGAGTGTATTTGGTCAATGACATTAGGGCAGATGAGTCACAATCTATTAAATAGCTACTGTAAAACTAGCTTATTGGAACTAAAGAGTGTAGATGAGTGGAAACTTTTTTTTAAAGAAAAGTTTAACCCATTGTTACCCCACTGTACGTTTTTTGTGACTATAACGTCTCCTCTTTGTCTCTTTGTTTACTGCAGAAGTAAATTTTGAATTTCAATCTAAGCACTTTATATTTCCAGCTTGTTACAGCATGAACAATATCATCTGAAGACTTGGAGAGGCAGCTGCATTATTAAGTAATCATTTAGACTCACAGCTTTGTTCAAATCCCAGTCCCTGATTTATATTTTGATAAATCCCAAGCACTTCATAACTGCTAGTTCCAGTGTTTTCTTCTTTCTCATTGGAGGGAGGGGGAAAAGCATAGGTACCCATAATGCATTGCAACAAAACTGCTTGCCAGTGTTGTTACTCTATATACAAGACTGTGAAGAGGGTTTCCAGTTTGATTTAACACTCTCAGAGGTAGTTAAGGAATAAAGAACAAACTTACTTCCCTAGCCTTCTATGGGTAAAAGAAACTATCCAAACAGAGTCCTACAGATTAAACTGTAGGTCTGTTCAGAAAAATGGCTCTCTGACAATAGCATTTTGTCTCCACAACTCCATTTCCAGTTTGTTCAGCCAACATACAAGATTTTTCCAACTGCCAACACCACATTTAAAGGGACACTCAACCCACGTCAGCTGAAAATGACCTATTTTGAAATGTTTGTTCTAGGGTGGAATTTCCTTTTGCATGAATTGCAGAATGGCCTGTATACTTCAGAATTTTCTATATTCATGCTAAGTGCATCTCCTGTAAGTTAGATCTGCTAAGTGAGGGCCCCAATTGGGTTCATCAAGTCTCTTGCTGTTTTTCTTCCTCATTATAGGAGGCTCTGTGTATAAGTGGGGGAGGAGGGGTTCTGCTTATGGTATCATGTTCTTGGTTACCTCAACTTGCACGTGGAGAGGACCAAGGACATCAGCTTTAGACCCACATGGAAACAATGGGTTTCTCAGAAACTGTTTCTATACCATACTCTCAATGGGACCTTATTGTCAGCTCGGGAGTGGATATTGGAACTCTCACAAAGTGTCCTGACCTCATCGTCCAACCACCATCTCATCCCTGTGAAACTGTCCTACCTTCTTTCCACTAAGGAAATGAATCACCAAAGTCTATCTGCCCACAAAATCTTTTGAAGCTTAAGTTTCCAGCATGCCTTAGGAAGACAATCACCCACCTAAACAGCCAAAGGGCTGATGAGCTACTAGGACAGCACAACTGCTTGACCCTTGGCCTTCTCTTTACACTAACAGATCACCATAGTTCATCAACTAATTTTGTTAGGTAAAGGCCTAGAGGCAGATGATTACAATGCAGATGGTATTCTTAACAACACAAAGACCTTCTGTAGAACTATGCCATCTAGTAAAAGAAGCAAAGAAAAGCTATTTAATCAAGACCAGAGTGTTTTACCTGCTATCCCTTCTGGAATTTGATCCCATCACACTCAAAGCTTGAGGTCCTGACAAACAAACCCCAATGTGCAACAGATCCTACACCACCTAAGAACTGTGCCCACTGCTACCAGAAATTATCAGCATTTCCTTCAGAGAAATAAACCTACCAACCTCCTCTGTGAAATGCAATAATCTGTTCAATCCTCTTCAGCTCTTACCCTGTGTCCCCATTTCTAGGTAAAATCATTAAGGAAAGAAGGGGGAAGGAATACAATCTAAAATCGGGAAAGAACAGGTTAAAGAATATTTAGATAAATTAGATATATTCAATTCAGCAGCACCTGATGAAATTTATTATAGGATATTTAAAGAACTAGTTTATGACAAATCAACTTAATTTCCTTCTTTGACAGAATTACTGGCCTAGTAGCTAGGTGGGAACCAGTAAATCTGATATATCCTGATTTTTAGTTAGGCTTTTGACTCAGTCCCACGTGTCATTCTCATAAGCCAACCATGGAACTGGGGTTTAGATGAAGTTACTGTAAGGTGTATACACAACTGGACTATACTCAAAAAGTAGTTATCAATGAATGGTTTGCTGTCAAACTGGGAAATTGTATCTAGTGGGGCCAACGGGGATTGGTCCTGGTCTACTCAGTATTTTCATTAATGACTTGGATAATAGAGTGGAGAGTATGTCTGTAAAATTTGCAGATGACATTAAGCTGGAAGATGATGCAAGCACTTTGGAGGACAGGATTCAAATTCAAAATGACCTTGATAATTTGGGAGAATTGGTCTGAAATCAACAAGATTAAATTCAATAAAGATAAGTGCAAAGTATTTCTCTTGAGAAGGAAAAATCAGATGCATAACTACAAAATGGGGAATAGCTGGCCAGGTAGTACTGCTGAAAAGGATCTGGGGATTATAGTAGATCACAAATTGAATGAGTCCACAATGTGATGCAGTTGTGAAAAAGGGTAATATTCTGGGGTACAGTACCAGGAGTGTTCTATCTAAGATATGGAAGGTAATTGGTCCCGTTCTATTTGGCACTGGTGAGGCCTCAGATGTAGTACAGTGTCCAATTCTGGGTGCCACACTTTAGGAAAGATGTGAACAAATTAGAGTCCAGAGGAGAGCATCAACAAGGATAAAAGGTTTAGAAAACCTGACCTATGAAGAAAATTTGTTAAAAATGGGGCAGGTTTAGTCTTGAGAAAAGATGACTGAAGGGGAAATCATAACATTTTGTTCAGATATGTTAAGGGCTGTTCTAAAGAGGACCGTGGTCAGTTGTTTTCTGTGTCCACTGAAGGTAGGACAAGAAATAATGGGCTTAATCTGTAGCAAGGGAGGTTTAGCTTACATATTAGGAAATACTTTCTTACTAGAAGAGTAGTTAAGCTCTGGAATAGGCTTCTGAGGGAGGTTGTGGAATCCCTCTTGTTGGAGGTTTTTAATGGCAGGTGGACAAACATCTGTAGGGGTGGTATTGTAGGCACCGACTCCATAGGTACTTTGGGGCTGGAGCACCCACAGGGAAAAATTAGCGGGTGCTCCGCACCCACTGGCAGCCAAGCTCCCCCTCCTTGCCTCCTTCTCCCCCGACCCCAGTGCACCGCGTCCCTGCTCCTCCCCCTCCCTCCCAGTGCTTCCCGCCAACCCCCTAACAGCTGTTTGGCAGAGTTTAGGAGTTTCCAGGAGGGAGGGGGAAGAGGCAGGGACAGGACTTGGGGGATGAGGGTGGAATGGGGGTGGAGCTGTGGTGGGAAAAGGCAAGGCAGGGCAGGGACTTTGGGGAAGGGTTGGAATGGGGATGGGGTGAGGGCAGTGTAGAGGTGGGAAGGGGCAGGGGCGGGCTGGGCTGGGTAGAGCACCCATTGGGCAGAGGGGAAGTCAGTGCTTATGGGTGGTCTAGGTTTATTTGGTCTTAAGGACCTCTCAAGATCTCTTCCAGCCCCACATTTCTATGTTTAAGTTGTGACCACAAAGGTCTAGCAATGTGTGACATCTGCCACTATATCGGATGCTTCAAAAAAGCAGAGGGATGGACTTGGCCCCGTCAAGCAGTTTAAATGAAGTTTCCATTTCTAAGAGATATCTATAGAGATAAGAACAAACATGTCCATCAAAATTAAATTGTCCTTAGACACTTGGGACATTGTTATAGTTTATTTTATTTAGGTATTCAAGTGTTAGACACTTAAAAATACCAAGATACATACATTCCCTTCCCCACCACTTTAACCCTGAGCCATTTCTGTATAGTTCACCTTGCACAAGCATACACATATTCAACACATACAACTGTGTATAACTCTGATTGACATGGCCAAGACAAGTTTGTAACCAAAAGAAACAAGCTGCAGCTAAGGAAATGGGGGGAGAAGGATGCAACATAAAAGCAACTAGACTGACATCTTTCTTGCTCTTTCTTTGATTGTGGGTTTTTGTTTGTACAGCCTGTTAAATTTTGTTGGGAGCTAAATTAGTATTTTCAGCCCAGACATGAGTACAGTGGACAAATAGTGATATATAGATCTAATGAATCTGATGTGTGAGACAAAGGGGACTGTACTTAAATCCAGCAGTAGCTTGGATTTGATGGAGACAACACTGAAATGGAGCCATGGTTCCTGGGAACGGCTTTTTCTTTATCACCTTGGTAACCTAGCTAACGTGAATGCAAAGTTTTTGCCCAGAGAGAGCTTTCAGACTCATGTACATTAACAAGGGGGCCAATTCCTGGTGACAAAAGGAGGAAGTTTGCCTAGAGGAAAGGCAAATAAGGGGTTTAATTCTTCCTCTTCCCACTTAAATCAGGCATACACTGTTACTTTACCAGCTTGTATGCAGCTGCTGTGCGTGTAGGGAGTGGATCATTATTCCAGTCATAGTATCTTCTAGCTACTTCCAACACCACTGAAAGAAAGCTTAAGAATGATGGAGGCAGGTGCACAGCAAGTAGCTTTTCTCTGCAATGGTTTCCTAACATCAGATCAAATCCTGCACTCTTTAGTCAATGGGGATTTAACCTAAGTAAAGAGTGTAGGATTAGTCCTTGACATTTCATGATACCAGCCTCCCAGCTCTGTGCACTTAGGGGCTCTTTTGTATAGGTGACCTGCTCAAAGATCAAAAGGGGGATCATTAGCTGCCTTTGTGGCACTGTCCTCCAGACTCCAGGGGGAGCATGTTGTAGATCTGGTCCACATCAGGAGAGAGAAAGGAAAATGGGTCAGCTGGGGGAATGCATGTTGTCCCCTCTCAGTCTCTTGGTGACTCCCAGAAAACCCTAAACATAGCTTGGCATTGTATTTTCATTTCTACAGAACCCTTCCAACTCCTTGGCTCTGGAAGCAGCTGTAACAAGGAGGCAACCTTGCAGCTGGTGGTAAGCCAGGAGAGCTCCATTCAGCCAATGAAGAGGTGTGGGGTCTCCCATAGGTCCCTGGTCATCTGTCAGGTTCAGGACTGGTCCTGTGGCCTACCCTGCTGGAGGGCAGAACCCACTCTTGCTAGAACAATGGAGGAGGACCATTGGATCCTTGTAACAATTTCCTCCCCCAAGGTCTTCTTCCATGGTAAGAATGATCCAGCCCTCAGCTATGAACAATGAATAGGAAAAGGATAATGTGTTTTTCATATGTAACACATTCATTGCAATAAGGATCATAAAAAGCTGAATGTTTATCAAGCCATATTTTACTTGCATTTATAATCAAGACTATAGTTATTTTCTTAGTGGAAACAAACAGAATTACTGGAAATGTAAAGGGTTTTGCAGCTGTTGAGGAAAGTGACCCCTTTTGTATAGGTTTGCCACAGCGACGGGTACTTTAACAATGCATGTGATAACTACTCTGGCACTTGGCCAAACCAAGACTGTAGATTTGTGAGTGTAATAGTTCAAAACCATGCAGTACAAATGTATAGCACCCCAAAATAAAATGATAGACTTTGTCCTTAAAACAGATGCATTAGACTAACAAGTCATTCTCTGCAGTGACTGTAGAGACATCTTGATGGGATGAGGCCGCAAACTTCACAACTGTCCCCCACAAAATGAAATCTTGCACCTTGCAAACTTTCAGGTCAGCACAAGGCCTAAAAAGCATAGAATCACTGCAATTCCACTGTACAGGAGCGCACGGGCTGCAGAGTGGGATTCTGGCTCCCTTTGGTAGCTCACAACAGGACTGTATCATAAATATTTCAACTCTAGTAACTGGTGGCCAGGTGACCTTTGTTCTTTCATACACATTCTTAGTAGGAATCTTGAAACTATGATTTTTCCATGTAGCATTCAAAAAAAATTTAAAACAATTTCCTTCATCAAAAAATTGTCTCTCTTCAAAGGATCATTATATTTTGGGGGGGGGGGGGGAAGGGGAGATAGCACAAAATTCTTTGGACTCCTTTGTTACGTGTTTCCAACAAGGTTTGGTGCCATTTACAGCTCTGTTAACAGCCTGCAACGCAAAATGCAAGGATATAAAACACCAAAGCAATAAATGAAGTGAGTGGGGTATAAGGGAGGTTAGACTCCTGCCTAATAAAGAATGAGTTATGCTGCTGCTATAGTACGTGACAAAAATGCGTGTGTGGTGGGTGGGTGTTCTGTCTTGGAGGAATTCAGTACTAAACTAGGTAGAAATTGGTTTGTGAGTAATCTTGGTCTCCACTGACTATCTCTGTGCACGTTAGGAATCCCATTGTTGGGCACAGGACCCCATTCAGCCATTAGTTGGGAGGTGGTCATTTCTGTGAAGAGCTTTAAAAAAAAAAAACTACCCACAATGTAAAAGTCTTGAGGAAACTCACCCCCCATTGAGCTAGTTATTCCAGCCAAGTAAAGCAACTGAAAGGGCAAGAGATACTAGGGGTTTCCTGACTTTGAGCTGTTTGAGGGATCTCCAGTTCTGACTGTAGTGTGTAAGATGCTCTTTGCTGTTTTCCTGACCGTTTCTCTGCTGACTTCTTTAACTTCAGCAAATGACACTGACATCGGGGAGGGTGAGTTTTTAAAAAAGAAAAATGTTACCATTAATTCACACACACAAAAAGCATTTCCATTGGGAATTCTGAACAAGCATGGGCCCAGTTCTGCACTTGCATTGGAGTAACTACTTGGGCTTTAAACCAATGTGAGATCAGAATCAAGCTCTGTGTGCACAGAATATGGCATGCTTTTCAAATCACACACACGAAGCATCATGTTGGTATATGGTGGGTGCAGATGCAATTGATTTTTAACTGAGATAGTATTTAGAAACCTTTTTTTTTTCCTGGCTAGGACCTGAATTACTTTCATATACGATTTTATTGTTTTATTAATAATGTTAGGGCATCTCGAGCCTTGGATAGGCATCTTTTTATTATTTTAAATCTAAATAAATGTATTAGAATTTAATGGTTAGTTGTACTAGCATTAAATATGTCAGCATTTCATTTACTTATGTGATCAGTTGATCCGTGTAAGCATTGCACACTTACAATTAAGCTTTAAATTAATCCTGACATGGAGCTTTGTTTGAATTGCAATTACTACTATTCTGTTGCTGTGTATGTTTTACTTAGTTTTGGGCTACAATGTTGAGCTAGCATTTGCATTCTTCTGTGTATAAATAAACATGTATTTTATAAAATAGCATGTGTCAGGTACTCACAAATTGTTGGATTCCTAATATTGTTATTTAATGATAGCATCTCAGAATTGAGAGAGGGAGTAACTGAATTGCTTTGCTAAGAGAAAAGTGGAACTAATTATCTTATACACTAGCAGGCTACTGTGAAGAGATTTTTAAAGAAATTAAATTTAAAGAAAGGAATATATGCACACAAAAAATATCTGCTTTTTCCCTGTCATACTCCAAAACTGATGTACCGTTAACCCCCTCCCAAGTGCGCCTCACCAAACAGTAACACCATTTCTCCACTGGGATATTTTTACTTTGTGAAATATCAGAGTTTCTGGATTTTGTTTCTAATCCAGGTTAGAACATTTCATTCTCGTGGTTATGCCTCTAGCACTTGATCCAGGGACTTCAACTGGTGTTTGATTAGGCACCACGTGAAGATTAACGAAAAATTAAAAGCAAATTGCTGAGCGGAAAGGTGTAAGGAAAACATTAATGCTGCCACATATAAAATATGAGGCTGGTATCTCTTCTAGTCAGATTACTCATTCTGGGTTTTTATATCACATGCTGCTGCCTTACCTCTCATTTTATTGTGCAATATATTTTTCCTCTCTGATAACTTATCAGTACCTTAACACAGCAGGAAACATATTGTGCCTTTGGTCTCCGCAGCAGCCTTTTATTTTGAAATCACGTTATGGCATTAAATGTGTTGATTGTCTCTTAAAATTTCTCTCTTAATCTCTCTTTTTTTTAAATACTAAATTTGGTCTGAATTACCAGGGAACTGAAATAACAGCATATATTATGATATTTATGAAAACATTTTTCCTTCTTTTTTTTTAACTGTTGTGAAATATTCATTATTTTTTGCTAAGCCATTGGGGAAATCACTCGGGAACATTCCGGTAAGCTAGTTGTTAAGCAATGCTGCGTTCCTAATCCTTTTCTTTACACAGCATGTCACTGAGGTGTCTGACAGATGTAACCTGTGCTACACATCGTTAAGCAGTTTCAATGAATGGGATTGCTCTGAGTAAACTGCATGTAAACATCTCCTGTTATTCAGACTGAAATGTCTGTATTATAAAACGTGTTAAAAGGGACCTGTAAAAATGGCAAGGGGATATAATGATCTTGTACCCTCTTGCTTCTTTCTTAATGTATAAAGAAGGTCTGAAAGGATTTTTTTTTCCCTCTGCTTGTTTTTTAACTTAGAAATTCCAGTCTTATTTACCCTGCAAGATTCCCTGGACTCCTGCAGAGCTGGTAGGTTTATGACATTTCAGTCCAAGGGAGGGAGTGACACCTGATTACTTGAAGGAGTGTTTTGATTTTTATTTCAATTTATTTACTATTAATATATTTGAACCCAAATCCAGCTCTATTCTAGAATTTAGTCACCTGGCCAGATTTGCTCTCTTCCCATCCTTCATTTTGAGGCCTCCAGTTCTAGGGAACTGAGAGAGTGGGATTATTCTGCTGGCTCACCTGATAAACTGTAGTGTATTTCTGCTTTTGTGGCTATAAATCATCTCTCATCAATCCCAGGGTATAAAGAATAAGCATTTTCTAGATTACATCTGGAGAAGTCAACTCCTTGAGTGTATTGCTGACTAGCAGTTCAGGCATGACTGTTTCAGGAAACCGTATAACTATGAAAAACCGAATCGACAAAGTTATTCAATTACGCTTACCGTTAACTAGAGCCAGGGGTGCTAGTTCCACAGCAGAAAAAAGAGTTAGTAAAATGTTTGAAAAAGCAAACCTTCTGAAAGTGGAAGAGAAGATATTGTAAATAAGGAATGTGTATAATTATTATTATTTCTTATTTGTATCACAGTCACACCTAGAAACCCCAAAAGAGATCAGCCCCCCACTGTGCTGGGAGCTGTACAAACACATAGCGTCTGAGCCAAAGCCTACTGAAGTTAATGGGAGACTTTTCATTGGATTCAATGGGCTTTGGTCAGTCCCACAATGAGACAAAAGAGCTTACAGACAGGACAAAGAACGGGAAGAGGCACAGACAAGCGACTTGTCAAAAGTCACTCAATGGCAGAGCCGAGAATAGTACCCAGGCTTTCTGATGTCCAGTCCAGCACCCCATCCATTAGATTATGATGTCTCCTACATGCCTTTGTTGTAGGCAGCAGCAAACAAACCTATATCTGTAGAATCTGTCGTGTGAGGATGTTAGCACAGTCCGTCTTGGGCCCATTCATCACTTGCTGTTGCTCACAGTGCTTCCTGGCACCCCTTATTCCTGTCATAAATCAGCTTTTTGCTGGCTGGTTTGCTGACAAACTGGCACCAGGCAGACTCTGGCTTTTTCCAAACAAACCCAGGGAACCCTGAAACAATGGGATGATTCTGCCTTAAATACTCCGGTGCGCAGTAAAAAGTAACTCAGGTGAAGTCAATGGGCCAGATTCACCACACACTGGTTTTAAAATAATATTGACTTCAGTGGAATTACTCAGCTGTATATCAATGAAAGTGGTATCAGCCCCAGTAGAGTTATGTCTATGTACAACTGAGGCAAGGAAAGCAGAATTGGACTAAAATTGTTGTTTTCTTGCAATATTCACTTTTACTTAGGACTTGGTGAAAATTTAGTGTACTATAGACAGAATATTTGGTAGATCCTGCTCTTTTTACTAGATCCTAGCTGGAAGTGACCAATAAAACAAGCCAATCTGGACTCTCTTTTTAACCCGAGGAGGAGTGTATTAGTCAAAGTATGGAACAATAGTCAGAGCTTGTGGGTCCAACTCCCCACAGCTCACTGTGACTTTCAGTAAATCTCACAAGCTGTCTGTTCCTCAGTTTACTGATTTAAAAATGGTTATAAGACTTCTTGAGCTGAGGAAGCTAGTCAATTACTAATGAAATTTCCTCTAAAAGTGGAGAAAACACTGGCTCAAGCAACAACCTGGAGGATAGTACTTCTTTAGAAATGGGAGCAATGTTGTTAACACATTTGACTAGCTCTTTTTAATGGGTTGATACTCTCTGATATACTCACTATACAAACATGGAAGAGAAGGAGAAGATTTTATATCAAAGGCTAATGAACATAACCAAAAATGCTGAAATATACAAAGTATAATTGTTACTTGCATATTGACTTCTGAGAGAAACAGATGATAAACAGTTCAACCTGTTAATGAAGATGGTTGAACCTGAGAAAAAAGCTCCAACTACCTATGTAAACAACGGGTTCTAAAGGTCTTCTTCCAAGAAGATCTGACAAGAAGTTGACAAAGATGATGCACCCAACAGAATGCTGCTGGTAGGAGGGATAAGCAAGCTTTAAACAGGATTAAAAAGCTTAATCAATAAATTGTAACTACAGTATCTGGCCTGTTCACCGCACTTGTGCACAGGAATAGCCTAGTCATGGTTTTTATTCAGTTTAGTTTTCATTTTTTGAGTCTCACTTTGTCAAATAAACCTGCTCTTAATTTAAAATAACCTGAACTTGGAATGCAGGGTGTTAATAGGGCAAGTGCTGCTAGATGTTCACGGGGGAAACAACCTGACATCTGACCCAACTGGAGGCGGAAGCTGAATAGAAGCGACAGCTTGAGCACAAGGTTAAAAGTAAGGGCACAGAGGAGACTATTCCTAAAAAGATTTCTCTAAGGAAGCAGATGGCTTGGGAAAAATTTAAAGGCTTTGGGACATCTTTTGCCATCAGTCAGTCCAGTGTATATCTGGTGTTTTGGAGTTTCTCTGTACTTACACTTACTGAAAATGCTTGTGTACACACGATGCAACATATCACTGCATACTGATGCCACATTTGTTTGGAACTCTGGAGTCTTCTTGCAAAGTGAACAGTGTTCGCTTTGAATTGGTTTAGCCTTTCATTTGTGTGCACACAATTGCTATGTACCATTTTTTGCACAATCCCTCGCCCACCCTCCAAGGACGATGGGCTCAACCCATCAGAGGATAAGCAGGAGGATGCCAGAGTAGAGCTGTCCCCCCACACCCCGCCCCCGCCGCCCAAGATCTTTTTGGGACTCAGGACCCTGACGACCGCTGCTGGAAAGCCAGCCCCTGGCCTGACCTCCTACCATGGTCCGATTCCTGCCCTGAATAGGCTGAGCCCAAATCCCAGCCAGAAAGCCAGGCCTGGACTGTACAGTCCAATCCTATGGAAGAAACTTTGGCATGTAAGTACCTATCTTTGAAATTTATTATTATTGTTGGCAGATGTGAGCTATCAGTCCCTGCCTTTCCCCCAAACCCTCCTTTGTGCTGCTTCAAAATGGCACCCACCAGCATGGTGCAGTCTCAGTCCTGCTCCCTTAACCCCTTACCCCCAGCAGATTTGAATACCAAAAACATTCATTTGTGCAGAATTCAGCAGTGTATTGAGACAGTGCTTACGGGAAGAGAAATGTGATTCGTTTGCACAGTTTACATGAGGTATGAGTAAGGGTAAGTTTATGTCACGGATATTTTTAGTAAAAGTATAAACAAAAATTCACGGCCCGTGACCTGTCCCTGACTTTCACTAACAATATCCCTGACAAAAGGGGTAGGCGGCTCCAGCACCCACTGCTACTGGGGCTCCCGGGTTCCCCGGCCCTGCAGTGCATGGGAGCTCTGGGGTCCCCCTGCCTGCGGGGCTGGACTTCTGCAAAGTTCCCTTGCCCCTGGGCAGCTGGTAGCTGTAGGGTTCCCCTGTCGTGGCTAGGTAGCTGCAGGGGTCCGCCCACCAGGGGAGGGGCTGGGAGCTGCAGGGGCGGGGCTGCAGATTCTGTGATCTCCATGACATAATCTTAGCCTTAGGTATGAGTGCACGTTGCATGTCTGCTCAAGGCTCAAACAATGCTGCTGCCCACTGAAGTACAAATGCCCCATAACATGCATTCTGGCTGACAACGATTGCATGACTCTATTTTCCCCAGCAGTTTCTCCATGTCTGCAGGGGAGATCTAGCAGAACTAGCTTGCAAACCCTTCCACTCCTCCAGCGCTTTTCGGGGGTGAAAAACTTGGTGACTAACTTCACAGCATATCTTGCTGGTCTCCCTTTTGCCTTTTTGAATAAGACCATTCTCTGCCTCCTGATCATCCGCTTCTGTGAAATGTCACCAAGAGTCAGGATGGCCTAAAGGGGATATAGAAGGGATTACTCTATTCAGCTTGCCCCCCCTCCATAGTCCCCTCTTTACACCTCCAACACCATAGCACAAACAAAACTGCAAAAATCTGGAATGTAGCTCCAATCAAGCCACCCCTACCAGCATAAAAGCAGACACAGTAGACTGAAGTGCAAATGCACCCAGCACTGTCCGTACATGCAGACCACTTACCATCGCAGAGGTGCCCCCAAGAATGGGAAGAGTCTCAAGGAGGCATATCCATATGAATAAAAGCTATCATGACTTCTCTGGGATATGAACAATAAGCAACTGGGTTTTTTCCCTACAGCCACGGCACCTGCGACAGACTGCCAGGGAAGGGCCTCTATCTAATGCTGACAGGCTGGCCAACCTGAGGGAGGGAAAAAGGAGGACTCGGGATGAGATATTTGCTGAACTCATGGCAGAGTCATAGAGGAAAACCAGGCTGGCTGAGAGGTGGAGGCTGTATATGAGGATCCAGAGGGAGAAAAAAATTCAGCTGTCTCAAGTGAGCGTGGAAAAAGACAAGAGATGCTGAGGCAGTTCACGGATGCTATCCCGAGTCAGAATGCCCTCTGGCAAAACATGATTCAGCTAGGCCAGCGGGCCCTGCGGTCCCATAATTTGGGTTCCAGCCATCTCCTTCAGCCCATGAAGAATGGTGGCTACTGGGACCAGCAGCAACTCCTAACATCTGCATTCCAGCAGCAGTGTTCCCAGATTCACCCTCTGGCCACCGAGAACATCTGCATCTGGGAGACCAGCCCTTTTGAATCCTGCAACCTGCCTGAGGATTTTGAACTGTGGTGCTCAACCCCAGAACCCATGTGGACAAGAGGAGCTGGAGGCAAGGGCTATGCTGGCCTTTAACTCCCTTTCCCTCTCTCCCTCCTCATCCCCCATTTGGTTATACTTGGAATATTGTGACTGTTGCACTTTGAATTGTGTTCACACTGTGGGAGTAATTAATGGTTTGTATATAGTTGGTTACTTAAGAAGATCAGTTTGTTAAATGTATTTCCAAACACAAGTGTATTATTTTTCCATTGCCTTTATTAAAAGTTGCTCATTGTTTTTTATTGTTGTTTCACAATAAAACTGTTCACAGTACATCCATTGAGAGTCG